CACGTATCAAGTGACTACGTGCTAACACAGAGTCCCACGTGCTCATGTTGACAAACATTGTCGGGAGCGACTGGCTTTTTATTAAGAGCTGTGAACCGTCTGTTTGACGAATAAGTATTGGAACATTATATCGTATGTTGTATCAGATATTAAGTATCTATAATTAACTTTGTTAAGTACATTTCCTGTACAATATAGCGTGATAGGATAAGGATTTAAAAATTGTAGACAACACAGTTACGATTTTCTTGCAAATGAAACGTATATCCTGACGACAAGAAACGACTTATATATCAAAACGACAAAGAACGGTAACTCTGATATCAGAACGACAAACAACGGTAACTGATAAATTAGAACGACAAACAACGGTAACTCTGATAAATTAGAACGACAAACAACGGTAACTGATAAATAAGAACGACAAACAACGGTAACATCCTACAACCTAGTGTCTCTCATCATCCTACACAGCAAAGTGTCTCTCATCATCCTACAACAGCTAAGTGTCCTTCATCATCCTACAACAGCCAAGTGTGTCTCATCATCCTACAAAAGCCAAGTGTCTCTCAACATCCTACAACAGCTAAGTGTCTCTCAACATCCTACAACCTAGTGTCTTACATCATCCTACAACAGCCAAGTGTCTCTCAACATCCTACAACCTAGTGTCTCTCATCGTCCTACAACCTAATGTGTCTAATCATCCTACAACCTAGTGTCTTTCATCATCCTACAACAGTCCAGTGTCTCTCATCATCCTACAACAGCTAAGTGTCTCTCAACATCCTACAACAGTCAAGTCTCTCATCATCCTACAACAGCAAAGTGTCTTTCATCATCATACAACCTAGTGTGTCTCATCATCCTACACAGCTAAGTGTCTCTCATCATCCTACAACAGTCAAGTGTATCTCATCATCCTACAACCTAGTGTCTCTCATCATCTTACAACCTAGTGTCTCTCATCATCTTACAACCTGGTGTCTCTCATCATCTTACAACCTATTCTCATTATATAACAGCGTGGTGTCTCTCATCATCTTACAATCTAGTGTCTCTCATCATCCTACAACCTAGTGTCTCTCATTATACTATAACAGCCAAATGTCTCTCACCATCCTACAACCTAGTTTCTTACATCATCCTACAACCTAGTGTCTCTCATCATCCTACAGCAACCAAGTGTCTCTCATTATCCTTCAACCTAGTGTCTCTCATTATACGATAACAGTGTTATGTCTCTCATCATCCTACCACAGCTTAGATACTCAGTAGTTGATCACAGATCACATTGTCTATCGTTGTATAATGATAATATAGCTGAGTCAACCTGTACAATAACTCTCTCTGTAAGAAAGCTGTGGTAATGTTATTCACTGACTGCGTCGTTATTGGTTTGCACTAGGTCTCCGTCAATGCGTTCCCTATGACCCCGTCCACTGCATTCTTTAACGACTGGATACCCCTTTAGAAAGAGTACAAAATGATGCGTGTATTTTGTTTTGTATCTGGTGTTTTATGCGATTTCGATTGCAACCAGATGTAGATAGCACCTGAAACCACACCACAGAATTGTCGTATTAATTAAAGGCAGATGACTACTGCCGACAAATGCTACATGGAAATATGAATACACAAGCTTTATTTAAGTTCAAATTTCTCCAATGGCAACCAATTATTTATTGTGCAATATTAAATCAACACTCAACGAAATCAACTCAGTCTTATATTTTAACAAGCGAAAGTACTATATACGATTTAATCTCGACGCTTGCTCACTCCGGGGTCCAGGATTGGGGTGCGGGTCGGTACATGGCGGCATTTTAATTACTCTATTCAACTTGTGAATTTTTTTAATGAAAATGTTATAAACTTAACACCGAAAGCTGGCGTATTGCAGGTTCATCAACAAAACATATACGTATATATACACATGTTTATATATTTACACCGCAATTCTGACTTTGTTCGTTCTGAATGTCGAAAGGCGCGTGGCACATGCACACTACAGTCTCCGTGTACTCAGAGACCCCTGGTTACAGATCACGTGGGCAAAGTCTGAACCAAGCTTTTATAAATTGATTAACAGTCGTGACATAATAATATAAACGTTCATATTCATTAATATCTTTTAAAGGTATAACTTTATTCTTTTCATCTAACCCCAAAACGACATCCAAATGTATTATTAGAATTCCAGCTCATTTGAATGTTGTCGTCGTATGGGGTAGTATATTGATAGGTCGAAATCTGCCGATCTTGATTGTCAGTCAATCACTCGGAACTATATAATGACAAACATCCGTTGTATAACTGGTACAATGGCAAAACTATAAAGGACGTATTATTTTTAAAACTCGTTACCTAAAACAGGTCAGATTGACATGTTGGATTTAAATCCTGGTTCGAGCTGTGATAAACAATTCAGGGTGTCGCAGTAATGTTGTTGACGCCTGAAATAGACCGGAGGACATCTGAATGATCTGCACCCGCTTGTGTACACAGCTTATATATAGATATATGTACTTGACACAAAAGACAAGGAATGAAAGAGTTCTACCCTTTAAAAGTAATGTTTTTGTTACTTAGGTAACAATCGATTGCAAGTTCTTAGATTGGGTGTACCGTCAGTAAGGCCTGTCGGGAAACAGAGATTTTAATACTGACCACCAGGATCACCGATTCATTACAGAAATAAATCATTAGTGGACAAGTAAAAAACATCCACGCCAGTAACATCTCAACGACATGGAAATACATCTAAATTCACTTCAGAATACAATTAACTCACCCATAGGCTAGTTAAAAGATGTAACGTCTCCCAGCCATTTCCGTGGTCGGATGACGCAGTGATAACGCATTCGCCTTTCACCTAGCGGTTCGGGGTTCGATTCTCGGAACGGACGTGAAAAGGTAGGGGTCACCTGTCCTACAACGTGGGTTTCTCTCTCTCCCCCCTTCCGCCACGTCCCTACCGGGTACTCCGATTTCCTTCCGTGCTTATATCCAGGCCAACAACAGTGATTTAATTTTGAAATAATTTAGCAGTTATTCAGATGAATCGGAATACTGTAAGATGCTGTAGAAATACTTATAAAACTCAAAATACTATAGGATGCCCCAGAATACCAAAACCCTCAGCCAGTCAAAATGCTGTATGGTGATATAGAAATATTGTGTGCTACTCTAGAAATTCTGTATGATGCTCTACAAATATTGCATAATAGTACAGAAATACTGTGTAATATAACCAGGGAGTAAAATGGACTTAGAGAAATATCTATGATGTACTTTTTGAGAAATAGTGATAACAACATTTCAATGTCAAAATTCATGATGGCTGTCTCTCAGTCATTTCATTTTTCTACTCAGTACAAAATTAAAAATGGGCACAACTAGGATATCAAGGGGGGATCTACCCATGCAATTTGAGAATCAAAGATGGCCGCCTGTCATTTTAATTTTCAAATCAGTCTCATTGAAAGGGCACAGCAAGGGACCAAAGGGAACCTATACATGGAATTTAAGAAAGATCCATCCACTACTTAAAAAGAAGTAGTAACAGGGTGTGTTTTATGGATGTACTGTTATCTGTATAACCAATCCATCTGATGGAAGTTGGGTAAAAATGTATTTTCCAATCATAAACTATGATAACCTTTATCTTGGCCTAAAATAGATTCCACTGTCCAGGCCCCACCAACACATGATTCAGCTATAACCAAGCAACATTTCTGAAAATATCAAACTTGGTGGTTAGGTTTGGAGTAATCTCAGGTTACCTAAGTAAGAACAAAGTCTAATAAAGTTGTTTACACCAGGAAATATATTCCACTTTATTGATTTAATCATATGCAGAGAGATGAATGTCAGAAGAACTCATACAAGTAATGAAATGATGCCAAATACATTGTGATGAGACCAGGAAAACGCATGTGCTGAAGAAATTATGAACTATTACATAACACTAATCCCATCTACATTGTCTTTACTCCCAACATATCTCTTAACATATAGTAAAGGCTGTAGGGGACAAGCATGATACAAGCTTCATCAAGTATATATATACACACTGCAGTATACTTATATCAATCAATATTCTTTGTAACAACTGTGTAGACACTTTTTTACTGTCAGAACTGTGTGGCACTTTCCTGTCAGAACTGTGTGACACTTTCCTTTCTGAACTGTGTGGCACTTTCCTTTCTGAACTGTGTGGCACTTTCCTTTCTGAACTGTGTGACAGTTTACAGTTAGAAATGTCTTTTCATTGTTAGCACTGTGTTATTGTGACACCTGACTATCATTACTGTGTGACAGTAAACTAATATTTTTGTGTGACAGTTGATTGTCAGTACTGTGTGACAGTTGACTGTGAGTGTGCATGACTGTTGACTGTGAGTGTGCGTGACAGTTGACTGTGAGTGTGCGTGACAGTTGACTGTGAGTGTGCATGACTGTTGACTGTGAGTGTGCGTGACAGTTGACAGTGAGTGTGCGTGACAGTTGACTGAGTGTGCGTGACAGTTGACTGTGAATATCGCTTGACTGTTGACTGTGAGTGTGCGTGACTGTTGACTGTGAGTGTGCGTGACAGTTGACTGTGAATATTGTGTGACAGTTGACTGTGAGTGTGCGTGACTGTTGACTGTGAGTGTGCATGACAGTTGACTGTGAGTGTGCGTGACAGTTGACAGTGAGTGTGCGTGACTGTTGACTGTGAGTGTGCGTGACTGTTGACTGTGAGTGTGCATGACAGTTGACTGTGAGTGTGCGTGACAGTTGACTGTGAGTGTGCATGACTGTTGACTGTGAGTGTGCGTGACAGTTGACTGAGTGTGCGTGACAGTTGACTGTGAGTGTGTGTGACAGTTGACTGTGAATGTGTGTGCTTGACTGTTGACTGTGAGTGTGTGTGTCACTGTTGACTGTGAGTGTGTGTGACAGTTGACTGTGAGTGTGCGTGACAGTTGACTGAGTGTACGTGACAATTGACAGTTGACTGTGAGTGTGCGTGACTATTGACTGTGAGTGTGTGTGACTATTGACTGTGAGTGTGCGCGACTGTTGACTGTGAGTGTGCGTGACAGTTGACTGAGTGTACGTGACAATTGACTGTGAGTGTGTGTGACAGTTGACTGTGAGTGTGTGTGACTATTGACTGTCAGTACTGTGTGGCAGCTGTCTGTGAGTGTGTGTGACTATTGACTGTCAGTACTGTGTGGCAGCTGTCTGTGTGTGTCACTATTGACTGTGAGTGTGTGTGGCAGTTGACTGTGAGTGTGCGTGACAGTTGACTGTGAGTGTGTGTGACTATTGACTGTCAGTACTGTGTGGCAGCTGTCTGTGAGTGTGTGTGACTATTGACTGTCAGTACTGTGTGGCAGCTGTCTGTGAGTGTGTGTGACTATTGACTGTCAGTACTGTGTGGCAGCTGTCTGTACAATAAAAAAATTTGTAAAATGTTTTTTTCATTACATCACCTTTCAGATAATGAACAGTTTTCCCACTCATAACACACTGCACTGTTCAAATTAGCTGCATTTCCATATTTTCATACAATTAAATGATTCCAGCCACATTAGACAGTTTATCAGAGTCATTATCAACGCAAGAGATAAAAACTGAAGCAATGTATAACAGAATCTCTAAAAGAAAAGAAAATGCGAACAGACAGTAGAACCGGATGAATCTATTAATTTACAGACCTCATCTTTCCAATAAAATTAAAAAAATATCCAGTGTTCAAATAATTCTGAATGCATTAGTGTATATCATTTTTTTAATGTGTTCAGATTAATTAAGTTCCAATGTTTACAAGATTTGACATGAAAATATTCTAATATCCCTGTTGAACTGCAACAAGAACCTGATTCCAACATGAGGTAAGTGTTCCCTACCTGGTAGACCCCGAGTATTTACATAGTACGCCAAAAATGGGCTGTACCTGTCTTAAACCACAACCATATATTGATGGAAAACCTGAATGAAACCCCAAAATCTCCATTTCTCTTCTATCTAAGATAAATGCACTCATCTAATATTTAATGAATAAAAGCGATCAGTTTTAATCAATAACTAAATACAAGATAACATGTGTTATCAAAAAATTATAAAAAAATAACTAATAAATCAATTTTGTCTGATTCCTTTATGATATTTCACCAGCAAATCAAGTAGCTACAAAAAGGGGAAACAACTCATAATGATAGTAATTAAACCAAATTAAATAAACCATGTTTTAATAGGGACTTATAGAAATCTTGTACAATGTTTCAAGGATAGCTCCGTCACAAGCCCAGGGGACCAGAAAGCTAATGATTATAGCTGTACATTGTTACAGTATAGTGAGAAGAATTAGTTGTTCCCGGACATAAATAAATCTACACGTCATTAAATATTCACATCATATCAGTATAATATATGCAAATTATATATACAATTAGGTCGTGACCTTAGAAATACAACAAAATCTCTACAACAAACAATTTTCCTAAATATAAGTTGTGCTGACATAAGGTGTCACCCTACAGTGTCAGCCCTCCACTACAACTCTAAACCATGGGAGGATGGTTTAGGACAGAAACCGATTTGAGGTATAAGAATAAGGGTTTATCTATTTTTATATATTTTGTATTGATGGGAAAGCAAGTAAAAATTAATTTTGATAACTGAGGAGACTAAATCAGTCAAAATCTGTTCTGTAGTATGTCCACATAATAGTCCTGTAATAAGCCCATCCCTATATCAAGGAGATGGTGCTGGCTTCCGGGGCAGGATAAACACTACAGATCTTTTTATCATTTTAGCTTTATTATCTTTCATGTTAACATAAAAATTTCCTTGAGTTCCTGAATCACAATGTCTGGCAGTGATATCCTCCTCAACACCTGTTTACTAAGACATGCCAATACTGACCTAGATATTAATTTCAATAAAGGAAAACAACATCTAATCTGTATAAAATGGTTTATACTCGAAGCATTTTACCTTGACCTTTATTCCTTGATATATATTCAGTCAATAGGGAAGAAAAACAAACTCCTCAAAACAAAGTGTTAACCAAACATTCTAGTGATAATGACTATCAGATTAATCTCGTCAAAAACCTTGCTCAAAAAAAAAAAATTTACTGGAAGGAAACAGAAACAAAATTATCACAGTCATGGAAAATGTATTTCAGTATTGACCAGTCATTATACCCTCTACCAGAAAATAATTAAAAACTTGATAAAAAAACCTATTCTGTTGAATCTTTGCTTTAGTAAACAAAGTGTGTTTTCCCTCTGTTATGGCAATATAAGAACTGTAGATTTTCTCTGATTGCTGAAAAGGAAATATGATATGTTTGGTGAAGAAAAAAATTGGTCTGTATGACATTTGTCATGAAATCATATTCCTGCATCAAAAAGGTCTATAATAAATTGCAGGTCTTGCCTAAATAACCCCTACAATCTTCCTTTTCAAGCTGTATCTGTTTCTTTACTTTGAGTATTCTACTCTAATAAGAAAAAATAAAGTAAGAAAAATAAAGTTTCTGCTGTACTTGTAGGCATCCATAACACTGTTCACAGGCACTTTTTACCAAGATAATCAAACATTGATCAAAATCTGTTTCAAAACAAGTTTTTATACCACAACTGTTTGCTAACAAAACAAATCTCATCCTGACCAGTTCCATGTACACACACTTCACGTTAGAATAAATCTTATGTCCATTACTATAAACAGGTATATCTCATTAACTCTACTGCATACATGTGGATTACAAGGGCCATGTGATAACATGTTGATTACTTTATTTATAGTGAAGAATCATGCTTTGTAAACTGCCACACTTGACATCGCCTATCTAATCTTTAAACAGAATAACATGTAACTTAAACATCAGGTACAGAAAACAGAACAGTGAGGGATTTAACATAGCTTCACTGATCTTTCCAAAAACCATTGACCCTTTCTTTCTTCAATAAAATCTGTAGGATCTGAAACAGATGTTGAATGATTTCTGAGGTCACGACAACGTGTCTATCACAGCACTATCACATAGCCTTGCTCTCCTGTTCAATCTGTTGTAGTATTTCATTCTCTATATCCCCGTCGTCCAGCTCTGTTCCATCATTGACCATCTCATAGTCCTGTAATTCCTGTTGTAGTTCTCGCTCCCACTGTGGGATGTCTACAACAAACAAAAGGATTCATTACTCATATTGATCAGGTTATATATATTAATGCCGTAACGGACAGACAGTGGTTTGAACTTTGACCTTTTATAAAACAAAACCATTACGATAAGGTAATACACCAGCTGTTGTAAACTTTGGGAGACTTTAAAGAGAGGCTGTGTGACAACTATCAGCCCTTTTGTACAAGTTTTGGTCTTGACAAGAAGACGGCATGTAAAGGTGCAACATTCCGAAACAAATAACTGCAATTTACTTGCCAGCATTTAGGTAGATATATGCACAATTAGGTAAATTGGAACAAAAGGATAGTGTGTCTTCAAAGTGATGCTTTCAATTGATCAAAACTTGTAACTTGTCATCAGCTGAAAGGCAGCAAATCTTAATCAACAAATCTGTTTGGGATAATTGATGTACGCCTTTCCAGTCAACTTTTACCACTGCTATTAAAAACCCAACAAATTAGACAAATGTTTTCAAGTCAATAAAACAGACACCAAATCAGCCAATCATCTTATAGTAAATAAAACAGACACCAAATCAGCCAATCATCTTATAGTCAATAACACAGACACCAAATCAGCCAATCATCTTATAGTCAATAACACAGACACCAAATCAGCCAATCATCTTATAGTCAATAAAACAGACACCCAATCAGCCAATCATCTTATAGTCAATAAAACAGACACCCAATCAGCCAATCATCTTATAGTCAATAAAACAGACATCCAATCAGCCAATCATTTTATAGTCAATAACACAGACACCAAATCAGCCAATCATTTTATAGTCAATAACACAGACACCCAATCAGCCAATCATCTTATAGTCAATAAAACAGACACCAAATCAGCCAATCATCTTATAGTCAATAAAACAGACACCCAATCAGCCAATCATCTTATAGTCAATAAAACAGACACCCAATCAGCCAATCATCTTATAGTCAATAAAACAGACACCCAATCAGCCAATCATCTTATAGTCAATAAAACAGACACCCAATCAGCCAATCATCTTATAGTCAATAAAACAGACACCCAATCAGCCAATCATCTTATAGTCAATAAAACAGACACCCAATCAGCCAATCATCTTATAGTCAATAAAACAGACACCCAATCAGCCAATCATCTTATAGTCAATAAAACAGACACCCAATCAGCCAATCATCTTATAGTCAATAAAACAGACACCCAATCAGCCAATCATCTTATAGTCAATAAAACAGACACCAAATCAGCCAATCATCTTATAGTCAATAAAACAGACACCCAATCAGCCAATCATCTTATAGTCAATAAAACAGACACCCAATCAGCCAATCATCTTATAGTCAATAAAACAGACACCAAATCAGCCAATCATCTTATAGTAAATAAAACAGACACCCAATCAGCCAATCATCTTATAGTAAATAAAACAGACACCAAATCAGCCAATCATCTTATAGTCAATAAAACAGACACCCAATCAGCCAATCATCTTATAGTCAATAAAACAGACATCCAATCAGCCAATCATCTTATAGTAAATAAAACAGACATCCAATCAGCCAATCATCTTATAGTCAATAAAACAGACACCCAATCAGCCAATCATCTTATAGTCAATAAAACAGACATCCAATCAGCCAATCATCTTATAGTCAATAAAACAGACACCAAATCAGCCAATCATCTTATAGTCAATAAAACAGACACCCAATCAGCCAATCATCTTATAGTCAATAAAACAGACATCCAATCAGCCAATCATCTTATAGTCAATAAAACAGACACCCAATCAGCCAATCATCTTATAGTCAATAAAACAGACACCCAATCAGCCAATCATTTTATAGTCAATAAAACAGACACCCAATCAGCCAATCATCTTATAGTCAATAAAACAGACACCAAATCAGCCAATCATGTTATAGTAAATAAAACAGACACCCAATCAGCCAATCATCTTATAGTCAATAAAACAGACACCCAATCAGCCAATCATCTTATAGTAAATAAAACAGACACCCAATCAGCCAATCATCTTATAGTCAATAAAACAGACATCCAATCAGCCAATCATCTTATAGTCAATAAAACAGACATCCAATCAGCCAATCATCTTATAGTCAACAAGAGATCCCAGAGGGATCTTGGCGCCCACCATTTGAGGATCTGTTTTCAGTCCTTGAAGATTTTTTTTTGTTTGTTACAGGTGTTGTAAATGTTCATGAACTGGTCTTCATTGAATGTACTCAATGATGGCACAAGATATTTTTTATTAAGCACCTATTAGCAAATATCATTTGAAAAAGATCCCAAAGTATTATTAGATAGCAGTCAGTTACAGGTGGATAATGGACAATATGCTTGTGCTGTATTACTGTCGACATCCAAGATGGCTGCCTGTGGGCCACCTTGATTTCAAATCAGTCCAAAAAAGGTACAATGCACAACTAGGGACCAAGGGAAACCAATATCTATGAAATATCAGAAGGATCCATCCTGGACTTCCTCAGATATAGCAGTAACTAGATCTTACTCTCAAAATCCAAGATGGCTGCCTGTCAGCCATCTTGATTTCGGATCAGTCCAAAAAGGTATAATGCACAACTTGGAACCAAAGGGAACCTGCATATGAAATTTGAGAAAGATCCATCCAGTACTTTCCAAGAAATAGCAGTAACAAACTTTTACATTCAAAATCCAAGATGGCCACCTGTCAGCCATCTTGAATTCGAATCAGTCCAAAAAAGGTACAATGCACAACTAGGGACTAAGGGGAAACTGCATATGAAATTTGAGAAAGATCCATCCAGTACTTTCCAAGAAATAGCAGTAACAAACTTTTACTTCCAAAATCCAAGATGGCTGCCTGTCGGCCATCTTGAATTCGAATCAGTCCAAAAAAGGTACAATGCACAACTAGGGACCAAGGGGAAACTGCATATGGATTTGAGAAAGATCCATCCAGTACTTTCCAAGAAATAGCAGTAACAAACTTTTACTTCCAAAATCCAAGATGGCCACCTGTCGGCCATCTTGAATACGAATCAGTCCAAAAAAGGTACAATGCACAACTAGGGACCAAGGGGAAACTGCATATGAAATTTGAGGAAGATCCATTGAGTACTTTCTCAGAAATAGCGGTAACAAACTTTTACTTCCAAAATCCAAGATGGCCACCTGTCGGCCATCTTGAATTCGAATCAGTCCAAAAAAGGTACAATGCACAACTAAGGACCAAAGGGAACCTACATATGGAATTTGAGAAAGATCTATCCAGTACTTTTCCAGAAATAGCAGTAACAAACTTTTACTTCCAAAATCCAAGATGGCCACCTGTCGGCCATCTTGAATGCGAATCAGTTCAAAAATTAATGCAGAATTGACTCCCTAACACCTCAGAGATGACATTCTATTTTTTCTGCTATCATTCACTTACACTTGCTGCACCCTCACATTATGGTGAATGACCACTTCCCACATACAACCCCAACATTATAGTGACTGACCCTCCTGGCATCCAGTTCCCAATATCATTGTGACTGAATCGCCCCACATACAACCCCAACATTATAGTGACTGACCCTCCTGGCATCCAGTTCCCAATATCATTGTGACTGAATCGCCCCACATTCAATTCCCACATTATAGTGACTGACCCTCCTGGCATCCAGTTCCCAATATCATTGTGACTGAATCGCCCCACATTCAATTCCCACATTATAGTGACTGACCCTCCTGGCATCCAGTTCCCAATATCATTGTGACTGAATCGCCCCACATACAACCCCAACATTATAGTGACTGACCCTCCTGGCATCCAGTTCCCAATATCATTGTGACTGAATCGCCCCACATTCAATTCCCACATTATAGTGACTGACCCTCCTGGCATCCAGTTCCCAATATCATTGTGACTGAATCGCCCCACATACAACCCCAACATTATAGTGACTGACCCTCCTGGCATCCAGTTCCCAATATCATTGTGACTGAATCGCCCCACATTCAATTCCCACATTATAGTGACTGACCCTCCTGGCATCCAGTTCCCAATATCATTGTGACTGAATCGCCCCACATACAACCCCAACATTATAGTGACTGACCCTCCTGGCATCCAGTTCCCAATATCATTGTGACTGAATCGCCCCACATTCAATTCCCACATTATAGTGACTGACCCTCCTGGCATCCAGTTCCCAATATCATTGTGACTGAATCGCCCCACATACAACCCCAACATTATAGTGACTGACCCTCCTGGCATCCAGTTCCCAATATCATTGTGACTGAATCGCCCCACATACAACCCCAACATTATAGTGACTGACATCCTGGCATCCAGTTCCCAATATCATTGTGACTGAATCGCCCCACATACAACCCCAACATTATAGTGACTGACCCTCCTGGCATCCAGTTCCCAATATCATTGTGACTGAATCGCCCCACATTCAATTCCCACATTATAGTGACTGACCCTCCTGGCATCCAGTTCCCAATATCATTGTGACTGAATCGCCCCACATACAACCCCAACATTATAGTGACTGACCCTCCTGGCATCCAGTTCCCAATATCATTGTGACTGAATCGCCCCACATTCAATTCCCACATTATAGTGACTGACCCTCCTGGCATCCAGTTCCCAATATCATTGTGACTGAATCGCCCCACATACAACCCCAACATTATAGTGACTGACATCCTGGCATCCAGTTCCCAATATCATTGTGACTGAATCGCCCCACATTCAATTCCCACATTATAGTGACTGACCCTCCTGGCATCCAGTTCCCAATATCATTGTGACTGAATCGCCCCACATACAACCCCAACATTATAGTGACTGACCCTCCTGGCATCCAGTTCCCAATATCATTGTGACTGAATCGCCCCACATTCAATTCCCACATTATAGTGACTGACCCTCCTGGCATCCAGTTCCCAATATCATTGTGACTGAATCGCCCCACATTCAATTCCCACATTATAGT